GCTGCCTGGCTGTCTCAGCCCCTTCCCGTCCTCCCTCGTTGCCTCTTCGTTTCCACGCAGGAATCAGCCGCAAAGTGTTTCTTTGGTGACCGCTGCCGTTTCCTGCACGACGTGGGCCGCTACCTGGAAACCAAGCCGTCGGACCTGGGCCCCCGCTGTGTGCTGTTTGAGACCTTCGGCAGGTGTCCCTATGGTGTCACCTGCCGCTTCGCCGGGGCGCATCTGGGACCCGACGGCCAGAACCTAGTGCGGGAGGAGTGGGTCCAGGCCCCGCCCGTGCGCAACGGCCTGGACAAGGCCCTGCAGCAGCTGCTGCGAAAGCGTAAGGTCCGCTTTGAACGCGCCGAGCAGGCCCTACGCCAGCTGAGCAGGGACCGGGTGCCAGGCCCCTCCCCCGCTGCCGCAGTCCCCGAGGTCACGGGGGCCGAAAGCGCCCCCGGGCAGGACAGTGGTGACACCCAGCAGGCCCTCCCGGGGCCGGACGCCGGTGCCCTTCCCAGCGGCTCGGTGTGGACCCGTGGGCCCCTGACGGATGAGGACGTAGTCAGGCTGCGGCCTTGTGAGAAGAAAAAGGTACGTGTTTCGGGCTTCTTGTTCGGGGCACCGGTAGCGGCGGGGGCAGAGAGAGCTGGACGGAGAGTCAGGGCTGGGACGGAGGGAGGCAGAGGGGAAGGCTTCCTGCAGGAAGGGGCATCGGGGTGGGGTTTTGGCAGTCGGGTCGGAGCTCTGCAGCAGAGGAGCGCGCGGAGAACGGAGCGGTCCTCGTGGAGGGATGCGCTGACGTGTGCTGAGGCGCGGAGGGGGGCGCTGCCGGGCGGGGCGGGGCAGGGCAGGTGCTAGGCCGGGGAGAGGGGAGGCTGGAGAGCCCTCGCAAGCCCGGCCGGAGGGGCGAGCTTCCCTGTGTTTACTGCCCTGCAGCTGGACATCCACGGCAAACTGTACCTGGCCCCCCTCACCACGGTAGGTCAGCCCGACGGTGCCGAGTGACCTCCCCTGCCTGGTGGGTCCTGGGGCTGGGGCGGGCGTCCGGGGTCCCCACCTGCCGCGTCCTCACGTGTGTGCGTCTCCCCCGCCGCCCCCCCCCAGTGCGGGAACCTGCCCTTCCGGCGGATCTGTAAGCGCTTCGGGGCCGACGTGACGTGTGGGGAGATGGCCGTGTGCACCAACCTGCTGCAGGGCCAGACGTCCGAGTGGGCTCTGCTCAGACGCCACCAATGCGAGGATGTCTTTGGCGTCCAGGTGGGTGTTGCCCGACGGAGGGAGGCGGGAAGGGCCGAGGGGCTCTTGGCTGCCTGGTTTTCGAGCAGGGTTCGGGGCCGGATCTCCGACTCAGTCACTCCCGGACCCCTCTTGTCTCAGCCGTGGGCCGGAGTGCTGACCCGATGCCCCTTCAAGGGCTGAGGGCCTTGGCCCGGGGCCACTGCGGGAAGACGGGGCCGCTGTCCGGATCCCCGTGGTGGGGGGGGGCGGTCTGGACCAGCTCTTCACCACCTGCCACAGCTCGAGGGCGCCTTCCCTGACACCATGACCAAGTGCGCCGAGCTGCTCAACCGCACCATCGAGGTGGATTTCGTGGATATCAACGTCGGGTGCCCCATTGACCTCGTGTACAAGAAGGTAACGGCCGCTCGGCCCTGGACCCCCACGGTGTGGGTGGGGCAGAAGCCTGGGATCTGGCCTTGCCCCCTGCCGAGTCCCCGGAGACCCGCGGGCATCTCTGTGCCTCGGTTTGCCCGTCTGGGCGGCAGAGGCTGAGAAGGGCGTCAGGCCCGGCCTGCGTCCCGGCCTCCCTTGCTCCAGCCGCCCGTTTTTCCCAGGGCGGGGGCTGTGCCCTCATGAACCGCTCGGCCAAGTTCCAGCAGATCGTCCGCGGCATGAACCAGGTACGCGCCTCGACGTCCCTGCCTCGTCCCCGGCCCAGCCCAGCCCCGGGCCCCGCTGACTGTAGCCATCGCCGCAGGTGCTGGACGTGCCCCTGACGGTGAAGATCCGCACGGGCGTCCAGGAGCGCGTGAACCTGGCGCACCGGCTGCTGCCCGAGCTGCGGGACTGGGGCGCGGCCCTGGTCACGGTGGGTCTCGGGGCACAGAGGGTGTCGGGGCCGCGGGAGCGCTCGGCCGCCCTTCCTAACGGTCCCTCTCTGCCCGTCGCTCCCTCTTGCTCTCTGGCTCTCCCTTCATCTCTGTCTCCGTCTGTCTCTTTGCCTCTCTGTCTCTCCCTCTCAGCCCGTCCCTCTTGGTCTCTCTGGGTCTCTTTCTCTGTGTCTGATTCTCCGCCTCCTGGGTCCTCCCTCCCCGCGCGTGGCTTCCTTTTCAGCTCCACGGCCGGTCTCGGGAGCAGCGCTACACCAAGCTGGCCGACTGGCAGTACGTCGAGCAGTGTGTGACAGCGGCCAGCCCCATGCCCCTGTTCGGTGGGTCCCCGCCACCTGGCTCAGCCCTCCCGCCAGCCCTGCTCTCTCTCGGGCCGCATGCCCGGACCCCCCCACCGCCCACCGCCGGGACCCTTCCCTGCCCTTGCGGGTGTCGCTGGGCTGGCAGGAGCTCTCCCCCAGAGCTCCCGTCGACACGCGGCTCCCTGAGACCCCAGCCTCTGTCCCTCAGGAAACGGGGACATCCTGTCATATGAGGATGCCAGCCGTGCCATGCAGACCGGCGTCGCCGGGATCATGATCGCCCGGTGAGTGTGCTCCTTGCGTGGAAGTACCGCAGAGCGTGGGGAAGGCGCCGGCGCACCCGAGCTTTGTCACAGCAGCCACTGCCCCCAGCCTCGCTGCCTCGTTCCCCCCCCCCGCTCTCCGTCCCCAGCAGGTGGCTCTGCCAGGACACGGGGCGGAGAGATGGGGTCCCGGCCGCTGGCGGCAGCCGGGAGGGGACCGGCCATTCGCGCCCGTGTGGGCTGGCACTCTTGGGCTTTGGTGGTCGGGCGAGCTTAGCTGCGAGGCAGGGACCAGGGCTCCGTCCTGACGGCCCCCTGCCCTGCCCGCCCGCCCACAGCGGTGCCCTGCTGAAGCCGTGGCTGTTCACGGAGATCAAGGAGCAGCGGCACTGGGACATCTCGTCGTCCGAGCGCCTGGCCATCCTGCAGGACTTCACGCGCTACGGCCTGGAGCACTGGGGCTCAGACACGCAGGGCGTGGAGAAGACCCGGCGATTCCTCCTCGAGTGGCTTTCCTTCCTGTGCAGGTGGGCGCCCGCGCTGTGCGGCTTGGGGGGCCGCGGGTGGACGGCTTGGCCTGACTCCGCGCCCGCCACCTGCAGGTACGTGCCCGTGGGCCTGCTGGAGCGGCTCCCGCAGAGGATCAACGAGCGGCCGCCCTACTACCTGGGCCGCGACTACCTGGAGACGCTCATGGCCAGCCAGAAGGCGGCCGACTGGATCCGAATCAGGTGCCAGGAAACCGAGGCGCCGCGGTGTGGACGGCTGGGGGGGGGTCAGGGGGCCCCAGGCCTGACCCTGCCCTCTGCCCTCTGCCCTCTTCACAGTGAGATGCTGCTGGGACCCGTGCCACCCAACTTCGTCTTTCTGCCAAAGCACAAGGCCAACGCGTACAAGTAGTCGTGGGGGTGGGAAGGGGCGTCTGAGGGCCCAGCGGGGTCTCCTGCTGCGTGAGCGGACAATAAATTTTATTCTTTTAAAACCCAGGCCTTTCTGTCACCCCAAGGCTTCCCCGTCCCGCTCCGGTCAGCTTTGTCTCGACACCGGGCCGTCCCCGTCCCCCTCGGTTCCCTTTTCTTTCTCATCCGCGAGAGTCCCCGGCCGTCCCCATGGGCCCAGCCCTGCGCCGCCCGCCGCTGCCGCCCAGAGAGGCTCAAACCGCAAGGAAGCCACAAGGGCTCACGAGGCGGGGGCCTCGGCCTGCGTGGGTTTGGGTCCGGGCGGGCTGCCTGGAGGAAGGCGCTCTGGAGCAGTCCAGAGCATTGCCGGAGGCAGCACATGGGAGTCCGGGGTCTGCCCTGCCGTCTGTGAGGCCTGTCTCTGGCCGTCCCCCCCCCCCC